GGCTCTGCCGCGGTGGCTCTGCCGCGGTGGCGGTTCGGTGCCATCTGAGGCCTGAGCAAGGGACCGGCTGCAGGGAGGAGCGTTCACCGCAGGGTCCTCACTGACAGCGAGGCAGTGTTCATGCACACCTAAATACTCTCCAAAACACCAATCCCGCCTTGGGAAAAACCGGTCAATTTCACACAAAAAAGAAAACTAAACCGCTTGTACCATGCCAAGGCGTTGTGCATTACCTAGAAATATCCGCAAAAATACCTATATGCAACGCTGCAGTTGCAATGGAAATCCTTTATTTTTGTAAACAGAATGGTTACCTGGGTTAGTCTGTTTCTTTTCTTGAAGTGAAATTCGGAAATACCCTTGATGTGCTCACCAGATGAGTTACTGCTGAGAACGCTGCAGCTGAATGGGAGGTGACAAACTGATTATTACAGATTTTTCTACCTGAGATGAAACTTAGCTATTTCCCACTTGAAAGAGACTTTTGAAATTCGATTGACTGCTACCTGATTCTGTCTCTGTAACATTCTGTGTAGAGGAAAAAGGAATATTGGCCACTATGATTTCACTCACAGAAGTTGTTGATCTGGGGAAGATGAACATTTTAACAAAGAGTTTCTAGATTTTACCTTTTTAGTTAAAATGGATTAAAATACAGCTATGCTTTTTGCTCACACTTTCCTGTTTAGTGACTAGCCAGATGTTACAAACATGCCTTTACCCTAGTAGAGACAAACCCTTAAGCAGAAAGACAGTCATACTTTGTTTTTTCTTCTCCTTCTGTAGCTTGGTTACAAATTTAAAATATTTTTTTAATATAAACCTGATTAAGGCAGGTAAGTAATTAACTGTTGCAAAACTAGATATTTATTTTTTCTTAATTCTTTTTCTTTTGAAGGCCAGATGCGGAAAGCAGCCAAAGTTCTCAGTACAGTTTTGAATCGCTACCCCAGAAGATTTGTCTCATCTGTGGTGATGAGGCTTCTGGTTGCCACTATGGAGTACTTACCTGTGGAAGTTGTAAAGTCTTCTTTAAAAGGGCAATGGAAGGTACTGTTGATGACATTGTTCCTGATTATCTGAAATACATCTTTCTAGGCACTGCTGAGGACATACTGTTTACTTATTGCTGGTCTGTGAAAATATTATCACTGTATTAATGTTTTTTGTTTTGGTGACTCCGTTTAAATATTATGGTGAATACTGACTAAATTGTTTCTTAATTGATTTTGCTAGTATTATTTGTTTTTCTTTAATTATTTGCTATTTATTATTTACTGTTTATCAAGTAGTCTTTCTGAGTAGGCAGTTTCATAAAAACCTTGTGTAGTACACGACTTGTTTTAGAAAGAGTAAATGCTATTCAAAGGAAAATTTTGTGGGTATGAACTAATGATAAGCACATAAGAATTTCTTTTTGCTTCATTCTCTTTTTGAAGTCATGGAATTTTTCTTGCTTGCAAGATGCAGAATATGGCTTCCTGAGAATTATGGAAGTATTTCAAGTTTCAGTAAACTATTTCAAGTCATAATAATAATAACTGGGCTTAACTTTTGTTCCAAATAGCCATTAAATTGCAAAGTCAAGCTGCAGGTTTAGTAAGTCAGTAGCAATACCTATGTTTATTTTTTCTTTTGGGATTATATTATATGCCTTGTCCACAGAGATTTTAAATATGAATACAAGAGCAGATTGCTTTATGTAGTTCCACTGGTGAAGCAGTGAAACAAATCCTTCTACACTTTGTCCTTTGTCTCCTTTTCTGATTTTTAGCTGATCCTGACAAAACTAGGATATTCAAATTTCTGCTCCGTATACTTAACTAAAGCATTGTTACAATGTATAGGATTCCTTAAAATAATAATAGTAATAAATTCCTGCATTTTCTTGTTGTGATATACAGTTTATTCAGCTTTAAAGAGTTTATTGCTCTCACACGAAAAGGGCAATATTGCAAAGTTAAAAGCTTAGCAACATAAGGTAGTTAGATTCTTTGTTTCAGCGTGCTGTTGCTTTCTACTTTAAGCATATGCCCATGTTCTTCCTTTAACATACTAGATACTTGCGGAGTGATAGCCCTAGACAAGGTGGGCTAGATGAACTTCCAAGCTAGTGCCACCTTTTCTTTGATACATTTGAAGGGATTCATGAGAGAGCTGTTAGAAACATACAGATTAGGCTGCAAGGAAAACACTTGGCTCTTAAGTCTGTTGCAGGAATACATTTCAGTTTCACTGACTGTGCTAACTGGTCTCTTGGTTTGGCTTCACATTTTTTTCTGTGTTTGTTTCGGAAAATCAGTGATATACTTTTAAAATAAGTCAGGAAGCTGAAGTTCTAAGAATGAGTGCAGTGTAATTTATGAGTGCCATATTTTAAAATAAGTTTTATTATCCACTTTTCACCTGTACAGTAATATTTTAATTTTTTATTAGAATTTTATGGTATCACATTTTAATTTCATCGCTTTCCTAAACTGGTGCCGTTGTGTTTGTGCAGTAGGTGAACCTGCTCAAAAACGTATCTTGTTGCTATTCAGCATAAATATTTTAGTGATAAGTGTTGAGAAAGCATATAAATTGATAGTAGGAACATCTTAAAGTTGTTTTCTCTGATTATTTAGTCAAAGCCCGTATTTGCAGAATGTTACCAGACTGAGAATGTAGACATACAGAGAAATAAGAGGTCAACAGTGTTACACAAACAAAAGGCTTATGTTTTACATAGCAACTTCATATTTTCAGTTTTTAAATGATGTCAAAGACTAAGAGTATGGTGAGGAAGTGTGTTTGGGTTTTTTATTAAGAATATTCAAAGAATGGACAAATACCTCAGAAACCTGTCATAAGAAAAAATACAGATTATTGAGTCTTATGGGAAGGAATGACAGGCAGGAGTCGTGCAGGCATGAGCAAGATGAACAAACCTAGTTTTGTGTAGAAAGTGCAAGTGCACAGAGAATTCCTCAAAGAGATGGACTTCTTATTTTGATGGAAGCATAGGATATAATTAATAGCATTGAAATAATCCCATTTAAGGGCAGATACTTGATGTCATTTAACGTACTTTTTTGTTTATTTCTTATCAGAAATAAAGGTGACAAATTACTTTTCTGTAAGAAGAAACAGAATTTTTTTTTGTGAATGCAATAGAAAATAGTGCTTAAAAATTCATAGTATCAATTGTATAAATTTGAGACATTTTTCTTATGTCGAATGTCCCCCTGCCCATCATTTCTTTGAGTAGGAATGTATTATTTATCTTTTTAAATCTTTAGTATTACTACCGACATGGGTTTTTTTTTAATAATAATTCATGAAAATAAGGTGCTAAACTTTGTGAGTGCAAATTCGCTATCGAAACTATACTTTTCAAATGAGAAATTAAAACATGATTGGAAATAGATGGCTTTTGCTGCTTTGTGGATTTCTGTATTTTAAGATCTTTTTCGTGTTAAAGGTTTTCAGGTGTGTAGATAACAAGGCACGTAGTATAGTGGTATGAAATTTGTTGGAAAATGTCTATTTTCTATTTTAATTATTTCTGTAATTTCAGATATGTTGGCTGTTTCAGATCTAATAGCCTGTGCTATTTTTTTCACAGATACTGCCCTATTCATACACCATTTATTTTACTTTCACCTAGTATGTGGAAAATACTGTATTAGTTAAATTCTTCCTTTGGGATAAAATGGGCTGTTACATTATCCAGAAAACTCCATTTTCCATCCCTTTTTGAAATAAAACCAGAGCTTATTTAAAATACTCTGACTGAACAATGATTTAAATCTGTATAGGCAAACCTAGAAGTGTTTCTATACTAAGTATGATTTAATCATACATCTGACTGTAACTAGTAGCTACACATACAGCTTAGCAGGCGTCAAAACTGTGTGAAGATCACTAAGATAAAAGTGTAGATTTAGAATTAAATTATTTTAGAATGTTTGTTGGCAATGAATTCTTAAATATGTATGATTTGGTAGATATTTTCTGTTGTTTGGCTTCCTGGCTGCCCACATGTGCCTATATATGCATAGAAAAGGATGGTGTTAATACAATAAGCGTATTTTACTCTAAGCAGAATCTTGAAGTAGGTTAAACAAAAATTCAAGTCCTTTTCTGGGGAAACTGTGGTATAGCAGATATGAAGAAAAGTTAGTGCTGGAAGTGGGGAGGAGAAAAGGCACAAAGATACCGATTTTTTTTTAGGTAACAGTTTTTGCATTTAGAGGCTGTATATTTTCTGTTGGTCCCTTACAAAGAATTCATTTACTAGTCCATTGATTCACTTAATATGCAAAGAAATCACAAGGCTTTTAAAAAATGCTTTAACGATCTCCTTTGGGTGTAATGAAGATAACAAAAGCTGCTGTTACCTATATTCAGTTAAGAAATTTGAAAAGACAATGGTGGATTCAGTATGCTGATGCGGTAGTGTCTCACTCGTCATTGAGGTAAGACTGAAGAGCAGTTTGGAGTGAGCAATCAAAAAACATTCAGAAATAATATTGAAAATGCTTTCAAATATGTAGAATTACTATAGTTGCAAAGTAATTTTCTGTTCATGATCAGGCATTATTTAAGTGCTACCAATATATCTCGTTCATGGTAACAAAAATAGGATATAGTACTTCTAATGGGGCTTTTAGGGGAATGGAGATTAAGACATGAACTCTTACTTTTTTAGCACTAGATTGTCAAACAGTCATTAGTGATGTCCTATAAAGATACCTTCATGTAAAATGATGCAGGGCAACCATGATCAAAATGCTTGTGTAACACCATGGTAAGATGTCTGTCCTGAACAGGAACCCAGCATGCAGAGTTTTGGGATCCTGGCGTTACACTGTTGCTAACACGTGGTTTCTTGATGACCTGCCTTCTTGCCCTTTTGTTGAAAACATCTACTTTGCAGTAGTTTTATTGATGAAAAATTAAAATTACTTCAATCCTGAAAAAAATTTCAAGTGCTGTTTCCTGTAAAAAGTCCCACTTTTCATTTTTGTTCTCATTTGCATGAACGCTTTGTTTATATTATTAACATCTAATGAAAAGTAGTTGCCCAAACCTGAAGAGTTTGAGGCCAACATAAATAGTGATATTACAGCAGGTGGGCCAGAAACTAACTCTTGGTTTGTTTAAATACCTGTGACCCTATTACAAAATTATATATATAGCAGATTTGTGTAGTTTTAATACGTGCTTCAAGCTCAGGGTAAGAGCTCTGTGCAGATAACGGCATCAGGGAACAAGCGCAACCATATCTAGTAGATAACATTTACTTGACAGAGTGTGAGCTTTTCTTTTCTCTGAGACTTGAATTTGGCGAACTCTGCCTGACAGAAAGTAGGGTTTCCACCGGAGTTTTCACTGTCTGTATATGGAAAACAGCGGGGGAATTATAGATGAGCAACATCTACACAGTGAGAAGGCTGGCCATGACTTCAACCAAACTTTCTGATAGAGTTTGTCTGTCTTGTGTTATCTATAGGCAGTTTTGTGATGACAGTGTGACTCACTATGTAAGGCCAAACTTTCTGATAGAGTTTATCTGTCTTGTGTTATCTATAGGCATTTTGTGATGACAGTGTGACTCACTATGTAAGCAGTGAAATACTATGTATCAGGAAAATTGCTGGTCTAAATAGTTGTGCTTTTCGGAAGGTTAAGAATGTAAAATGGCACAGCATGCCAAATATTTTTTAAAATGCCAACTGCTAACAGCAAATCCTCTTTGAAAACATAGTGAAGTGCAATACTATAGAGACCCTTTCATCTGTGAAGTTGATGAGGCAGATGTTAAAAGTTCCTTTTTCTCCTAACTCTGCAGGGATTTTTAATTTTTAATCCAAATTTCCATGCTGAATCTTGGGATCAGAGTTTAGTACAGCTTGTACAGTAAACCCAGTAGTGATGAAAGTTTCATGAAGTGGAAAACATACAAACATATAAAGCAGACATATGACAAGTTGGGAGATGAAAATGCTTCTGACTTAATAAAACATTTAATATTACTAAAGCTTTTTATTTTTCACTTAACAAAACAG